TGCCAAGTTATTTGTCCCACGGTTTGATAAGAAAAGCAAGGGCCTTGATTTTAGCACAAGTTATTTCTCGGACGACCACAGAATGCTCAAGTGAAAAGCTTGAGAAGAGACGTGTTACCGACAACCCGAAACTGCGCCCGCTAAGAGGTCAGCATGGAGCAATTCGGTCTAACGAGCCATGCGGAACAAACGTGTTGCTCTTGACTTGATTTGTATGACGACTCGACAACAAACAAACATGGCATTGACTGTAAGTCGGGACCTTTGGCTTTTCGCGCCCACGTCCTTAATGGTACAGACAGGACGTGAGATGGGGAAGGGGGATCTAGTTTCAGGTAAGTTACATAGAGGCGGAAAGGAAAGAAACCACAACAGCAATCGAACGAAACGTTACACTGTAGGAACATTAGCAACGTTGGGTAATAGGTCCTTAACTCTTTGATAACTTCCCTAAATTACATAACGAAATCCTGCTCCACAACTAGTATGAGTAAAGTAGATAGATATCAATGAAATGACAAAATCGTCGGGATCAATGTTTGTTTTATGATAAAATGTTATATTACTCATATTTGTGGAAGAGTTCTTCAGTACTAAAATTGTTCCCGGCCGATCACACATTACAAGAGATGAGGTATAGAACAGCCGGGAGTCTGACTTATACGATTCAGACGAGGCCCTTCTAACATTCATCACTTGGTCTCCGTCTGTGCTTATTATTCGTGACAATTGTAAAGGCGACTGGAACAGCGTAGACCCATGGGAAAAACTGCAGAAGAAAGACAAGCTGCCGGGGCCGGTATCCCCTGACATCGCAAGGCGTCTTCGAGTTACCTGGGACGGTCCATGGGGGTCCCTTTCCCAGTGATCAGTAATCATACACACCGGGGGGACGTGAGCGTTTCAATACGCGGGCGTGTTGTGGTTCGCCAGGCTGTCAGTCTCCGCAGACAATAGGGCAATCGCGTTGAAACAATCAACCGTCGCAACAGCCCGTCAGCGTCTTTCCATCACCGCCCAACGAACAGGAGAAAGATTGAAACGAATAGCCGCTGTGTTTACACCAAAAGCACCAAATATTTATACAGTCTAATTCAACCACTAGTGAGAGAATGGAAACAAGCAGCTTAAGACCTCTGGCTTTATCTGTTGAGTAGTTTGAGAAGACGGGGAGGGTCACCATTTTACCTTAAGTACGTTTACATGTTTGCGGGGCTTGGAGGACATTCAAATAGATCGGCTGACGGATCCCACGGCGCTCCTATGGCCAATCCTGTCAGATTGCTCCGTATGGACGTCTCGCTTCAACTTGATTCCCGTATCAGGTGGAGCTCCAGACTGGTTACCACGAAATACCTTTGCATATCCCTTGTTGATACAACGTTATACCGTCTCATCCGACACAGATTATGGTTGCTAAGTGTTCGGACGCGGGGATATGAACACTCGTGCTGTTTGAGTGTTTTGGTCACTAGAAACATGCTGTATCTGTTAGCAACACAGTCTTCCTTTAAAACTTTGCTTGTAGTTTTAAGTATGCCTTTGATAACAGTTCCTTACAACACCGCGTCTTTGAAGGTTACCGCGGAAGGCGATGGGTTATCGACAGCGATTTGGCCAAACACGAACCAAAATAGCGGCATGTAAAAATATATGTCAGCATGTGGAAATCAATCAGCCATTAGAATATCGCCAGCAAAAGATAACAATGAACTATAGTAATGAAAGCAACCCTAATCACGTCAAGTAAACTTCGCAACGGAAAAAGATGTATCCTTTTTTTTCAAAACATCTGTGACAGTAAACAGATCTCATGTTTAACAGGTGGCACGGTAGTTACTGGTATTGGATCACCAAAGCGTGGGGAATTCAAACCCATTCATGGTCACTTAATGCCAAGGACATGTAGACATAAGATTTGACTATAAGCGGTGACATGGCCTTTTTCTTTCAATGCTCCAGGTGTGCATCAAGAAAAAAGACTCCTAATCATAATCTCCATTGAGAATTTTCGGTAGCAAGGTCGTAAGACAGTATCCAATAAGCAAGACACTAGCCAAGATGCCTCCATCTATCAGACAAAATATACGTACTGAAGAAGGTGACAATCAACCTCTGCTTGGAGCGTAACTAAGCACACGTACATGTATGTCCCTCTACCCTTTCCCTGTCTGTATGGTGCAGCCGCCCTACCAGGCGACACAAAGCGCGGACGTCACCACCAGTGGGACTTCTGTACCTCGGGCAGGGCGCCCCGTCGTAGCTTTGTACACATGTCTCAAAAGGGATTGTTTTCCCATTCTTATACCATTTTCTACACACTGCATTTGTTTGATAATGCAGACAATATTTCGCACATTTCGAAGCAATTGGAGTGCATTCATGCATTGTGCTAGTATTTTCACAGCGGGTCTAAAGCCACATGCAGGGTTGTTGTGGTCTTCGCTGTCTGGGTTGTTATAACAAAGAATAGCGTTCCGCCCATAAGGTCCACGATGACGTTGCTCACTTGTACTTTGACAGGGAGTCAGATCTCATGGTAGAGTCTCATCAGCAGTGGGTCGTCTTTGCCAGACTTTCGCTATAGGAGCTGCAGTGAGACAGTCGTCCTTTCAGAACTAAAAATAACTGTATTTAGACTAGAATTCGACATGGCCGGAGCTAGAAGCTACGGAGGAAGAGATACTAGTAGACATGTACAATGCCAATGATGTCAATATTCAATCGGATGATGTCCTCTGTGGTAGCTAGTATACCGGTCTCTTAACCAGGTGACCGAGCATCCGTCACAAAATTTTGATCAAGGAGGATCTTGGCATAATGGTAGACATTTTGATAGAAATCTAGATATTCTTTATTATTGCCGGTCAACTTGACAAGTCAACTCCTGCCTCTCCACACCGTTGCCTGTCACACCAATCATGTTGAAGTATACTCGTATAACGTTATGTTATGTTGATTCAAACCTCTCGCGTGTACTGGAGTCGTTTGCAGTGCTGTCTCTATATGGACAAGCGTCCCAAGGGATAACCACCTTGACCCTTCGGGGCTTGGGTCACGGCAACATTTCAACAGCCCTGTGCGTATGTTTTGATCGGGTCGATTTTCTCTACCGAGCAAAAAGGGAGAGGCAGCGGTGACTGAGGATGGGCCAGGCTAACTTTCTCCGGGCCATTTAGTTTACAGTCTTACATCGTTGAAAGCTAACGGACTTAAACTAACGGGAATGAAAGGTTGTTTTTCAAATAATATTTCTGTCGCTAGTTCCATGAAGAACCACAGACCTACGTAAGAGGGGAACAACGTGCCTCAGTATCACACAACATCTGCTTGGACTGGAGTGCACTCACTGCGCGTGCGCGACCAGGCATCTTTGAAACTCGCCTCGCGGAGGATGATTGATGTGTGGGTTTGAGGTTGAAGAAGTCTACCAGGTCAAGGTGTCTTGGCCTCGATTAATAAGCCTTGCAACGATCTTTATGCACGCTGTGTACTTTTTGTCGTCACTTATGTCCTTTCCACACTGTTTAGGTCTTCTTGGACGTCGCTGTTTGTTCTTCGGCCTTCTTCATCTTGACTGTCTCTTTTCCTAGCGGCCTGAAGTCTGCGGCTCCCGGTTCTCACGTTGCGACGCTTGGTCTCAGCGCCTTCTTGGTCACACATTTTCTTGAACTGTAACGGTATTAGCTGAATGTCAATGTCTCGGATTGACCAGACAGATAATACTGCAGCACTAAGTTGCCCCCCTCCCACGGCGAAATTTCTAATACCTTTCTTGTGGGGTCTAGTCCATTTCGGAATGAGGGTTGAGGAGTATCAGTATATGCGGTGTAACAGCCCATCGGCGTCACACATCAGAAATTATAGGAGGCACGCTAATGCTGAAATAGAGTCAGAGACAAATGCTTGCATTTAGAGATGATTAGTGACATGAAGGGATGGTACATGGATGTCTTAATGATAACTACACCCCTCTGGAAGCTTTGAAAATGGAACAGCCCCTGTAAAATATAACAAGTTACCACTAAGTAAACCAACTTGGAAATCCTGCATTTTACCCTCAAAAACTAAACATTACATTCATGTATAAAAAATTGTTTCCAACTTAATTTTCTTTCTTCATTTTTTTAAACACAAATTTCGCATCTGAAGTCATTAAACGGAAATATAATGTCCTCAATGCTTAGAGGTTTTGACATAACCAGAAAGACAATTTAACGTTACATGACATGGTGTTCTGTGTCCTTGCAGTTGTCGACATGTAACGTTAGGTTGTTTACAGGGTTACATGCTCCTGAACACAATGGATTTAGGGACACCTGTTTGCGTTGGAATATGTAATGAGAATGTAGATAAGCAGTATGTAAATTGTTGTCATTTTTGTGTGGATCAAAGGCTTACGTGTGAACCCATCTCAACGGCTCTGAGAAATACATGCCTGGGATACTTTCATGAGAGATGTAATACTCGTGTCTACTACTTTAAGTTAAGGATCTGTTTGATGTGGAGAAAAATACAGTTGTGCACAGCTGGAAAATTAAGGCTGATAATGCAACTTTCAAAGAGTGTAAAAATACACAGCATGCCGAAGAAAATATCCAAGGTTTTGAATATGGTGTTCTAGTCTGGTATGACAATATATAGTAGATCCTAGTAGCTAGATATGATCACATCAGCAGTTCTCACAGAAGAAGTTTTCACAAATTATGGAGAATGGTTAGAGATGACAGTTAACACTTCTTCATTGTAACTCAGAAACTTATTTACAAATCCGTTCAGATACTTATGTACATGTATATATAACTTATATACTGATTACACTTGTCTTCAGACTCATTCTCAGTCAAAGATAAAAATATTGAAACGTTTATCTGACACTTCAGAGAATCTATCCAGTAGCATCATACATGTAAGTAGCATGATTTATTTTGTTTATTTAGGTAAGGTTCTACCTGAATGTGTAACCTTCATTGACATCTCTTGTCATTTCTACATTGCAGATGTGGATGAGTGTATGGAGGGCACGCATGACTGCCATCCTAACGCAACATGCAGTAATACACCAAAATCATTCCGCTGCCAATGTAGACAGGGATACGTGGGCAATGGTAGACATTGTGAAGGTGAGTGCAGAGATATATCATTGGTTTCCATATTTTCACCTGTGTGTGTGCATAATACAGTATACTATATTCAGATGTGTGATTTTTAAGTGACCCTGTTGTCAGCCTTCATACAATATGCCTTTCTTCTGTGATTTTCATTTGAGAAAACCTACGCTATATACTGGGCCTACTGTTAACGTTCAGTTAAAACTCAAGAAGGCTGCTCTGGACTAATAAAATCTGGTCTATGTGGACAGGTGTTCACTACAGCAAGGATTCTTAATGCTTGTGTCAATGAGAAAAATTATCTGAGGCACCAGTAAAATTTCTTGCATTGGCCAGGTGGTCCTTACAAAGATGTGGTCACTTGTACAGACTGTTTTTGCTATCTTGATATCATTCGCTCAGCAGTTCAGTTACTTACTTTGCACCCATAACAATTTCAGTCTAATCAGGACTTGGTATCTCATGTTGTCAGGTATAATATCTGGGTTATCGCACAGACTAGTTTATCTGTAAATACCAGGTGATCTTCTTGTAAACACCATGTAATAACTGCAGACTATCTTATCAGCTGTGTTTCCATTTGACATCCCTCTATAGTAGCCACATGCCTGGACTGGATAACAGTGTTCACTGTTGTATGTTTCTGTCATCCAGATTCTTAAAAACAGTAACTTGTACCAGTATATCTTATACATTGAGAGCCTAATGTTGACAGTAGAATTGAGAAAAAAAGCCATTGTTTCTGAATGGTCTATTTCTGAGAGCTTTCGTTTATACCTTTTAGAAATTAGAGACTAGAGGCTGCAACCCCTGAGCGATCAAATATTTGACAGATTGAAACTTTCATGAAAGTGTTTTTGTCTTTTAAAGCATGCATGGATCATATTCAAAATCTGAAATCAAATTATAAAATCAATGGACACACAAATCCAATTTTGGTACCTCAATGGTCACTCAGCAATCACCATTGTGGGCCTTGTATGTTTAGAGAGAAGTTTATAAAGCTAAGCATAGCTTATATGCAGGGTACTCCTGGATAACATGTAAATTCTAGTTTTCCAAGTGTTTTTTATGTATTCTTTGAAGTATTTCTATAAGTGATATATTTCTATATCATGTCTATATGGACATGAACCTGAGGCAAATAAGTAAACAAAGAAAATGATACCCAGGATCTTTAAGTTTGAACAATACACAATGTCATCTGAATCCCCCACTGATATGTAGCTGCCTGTCCACACCTGTGTTCCCAGTGGGACATCAGCATCAGGTATCCCTTAGACCAGTCAAACATCAGCAGTAATGAAATCCTCTCTAATCCAGCAGGATCCAAACTAAGTGTAACGTTGCATGGCCCCTGGGGTTTCAGAGGGCATCCAGGTTAGCTTTGTTTGACCTTCCCTCTCAAAAAAAGTGCTAACACAGCACCAAGACCCATTCCCATTCATTAGCTATTGGTGAAATGATTGTGGCTCATTTGCACACAAACTTTAAGCTACTATGTTAATCCATACATGTATCATATCATTGAAAAGTGACATCTGAAATGAATCATTGTAATACTTTCTACCAGTACTGTTATTGTGGCAGTTGGTTCTGTGACAGCCTGCTTAAATTCTACGACATCAAAATGTACGACATTGTATGACAATCAATGACAAATGTGGCCATTTACTGGAGATTTTGGGTACAGTATCTTTAAATGAAAATGACTTTGTCAAGTACATATCCAATTCTAATACACGTGTTTGGCTTAAAAAAGTCAAACTCAAAGCATAGTCTTGTGCACATGCTTTGTATCCCTTCAGGAGCCTTTTGTTGCCATGAGAATACAGGGGTTTAATGTGAAAAGTACTATCACTTTGTTTTCATCTATCTTTTCATTATCATATCAGTATCGTGTCTCCCCTCACAGTTCATCAGTTTGCAGATATTCAAGTAAATGACAGATAATCGTTCCATCACCTGGGGCTGTGGCATGTATGTTTACTTTACCAGAGGGCAGAAGCAATTATCTGTTGAAAAGGTGTGGAGGTGCCTAAAGGGAGGGTTGACTTAATGTGATATTTCATGTATGACCCTTCCACTGACAGACATGTCGACTGACATTTTACTACAGATACTTTGTCTGTAATTGTTAAATCGTGTGATCTTGTATGTATGAATGAAGGAAGGAAGGAAAGTTTATCATAGTAGTGTATTACAAATTTATTTACCCACCTGATCCACATAGGCTTACAAGACACACTGGACAGAATCTTGTCTTGGTCATATCGATACATATGTAAGATTGATATTGGGTATGTGATGTTGGGTATATGATTAAGGAGTCTCTAGCTGGCCTGGCTGCATACATACAAAAGTTACAGCTTCCTGTTGACATGAACAGAGCTCTGGAAACAAACCATTTGTTTAGTGACACCCTTACTAGTGTATGATCTACCTTGTCAGTGTGTATCATCTGTAGCTGTCATGTCATGAATAGTGCCATTGTACGATGTACGCAGGTGTAGGACATGTTCTGACCTGTCGGCTGTCAGGTGCTGTTGCTCGATGTTTGATCAAGTCTGGAAGAACAAAGCTTTATTCACATCCAGTCACCTCAACATAATGCTTGTCATGTCCCGTGGCAGATGCCATGATATGGGGAGACAGACTGGAGGGGTTGATTTGTGATTTGACCTGACAATTATCAACGTTCGTGCTACATGCAGACAATCGTAAAAATTATACTTATGTCCCATTAGACTCCTTGCTATTCAAAAGCCAAATACCAATTATTCAATAACGCTCATAGACATTTGTACTGTGTTTTGTGAGCAATGATCATTTACCCCAGTGCTAGTAAAAAAAGTTAACAGCAATCTTATAACATGTCAAAATTTAACAAAATTCATTTTCAGCAATGAAGACAAAGTAGGATGTCTTATTCCAAGTATTTGTACCTGAAAATTCAAGACAGATACCCCTGGAATCAATTGCACAACAAAAAACTTTATTTTCTAAGAATTATTGTGTATTGTTGATCATGAGTTAAGAAAATATTTAGATATGATCATGGACACTATTTTCCACAAAGGATACATAATAATTATTAATGTGTTAAGTTTAACATAAAATAGTGTTTATAATAATATAGATTTACTGTTGAGATTAGTACTGTATCGTTGTAACTTAGCCAATGTATTAAGCCGCCTTGCTTAGCCAAACCATCTGTTCTGTATATAATTATGGGTATTTTGTGGCTTGAGTTGTCAAATCAGTCGCCAGTCAGTCTCTCTGCACAGTGTTACACAACATGGATAATCATGAAAATCATAGTGAACATTATTGGAGGCTTGCCACATTGTTGCAGCCTAATCACCTTCAAAAAGGGCCTGGCAGGGGGCTAATCACACGTTTATCCCAGATATGTCCAAATAATGGGCTTCGGTTAGGAAACAATCCAAAAGGACTTTGTGGAATGGTCTGTACTCTGTAATTGTCGGATGAGTTATAGGTTGTTGTTACACTTGTAACGACTGCCTTGTGTGTGAATTTGGCAAGCGAGTCGTTCTCAGACCCTTTGATAAATCACATCTTGTAGGAACTGTCTGGATTTCTCAAGCTGTCTTGAAACAAAAAAGGTGACTTTTTGAACTTCCTACAAAATGGATTGTAAATGAATTCAGTAGGACTGTTCTCCTAATACTTATACTTGTAAAATTATTAACGTACAGATGAAAAAAAAATATTCGACATCAATCTCAGGATGTATGATAACACAATGCATCTTTTACCCAACATGATTTTTACTCAGTATAGAGTATTACTGTGCATGTGCAGGTGTGGACAGTAGACTCTAGAGTAAAGACTAGAGTTCCCCGATCTCATACCTTCGCCAAATGATGTTAATCTTTATAACTGACAAAGTTTAGATTAGATTATTCTCCCCTGATTTAAGAAATAGGAACCTAATTTTCATGAATTATATCATTTTATCATAATCTCAACCAAAAGACAGTCTTATATTAACAAAGAATGCATTCTAGCATTTTTGTAATTGTATACATAATACATAATTGTAAAATTTTCTCATTAATTATGCAAATTAAGTCATTATTAGCATAATCAACATCTTCCTATGTTTCTCTCGTTGTCAATTACCGATGTCACAAGCTTCAATTGTCCTATCATGGAATGCAGCTGATTTATAGAATTTCCCCATAAATTATGCAAATTACATCCATATTTGCATAATAGTCACATCATTATATTAAGCATCACGTAAGCTACCTACATACCAAAAATCACGACGATCCGTCAATCGGTTCTTGAGTTATCCCCTTTTGAATATTTTCAAGAATATATCCCTGCAGTTCTAGAGCAAGCCGCTAGGGGGCCCAAACTCACGTCACTTCTTCCCCAGCACAAGAGGTACCTACCATCCAAATTTCGTCACTCTAGCATGTCTACATCATGAGATATCAAAACCGGAAGTTCAGCTGCAGTACCATAACAAGCCGCTAGGGGACCCAAAATCTAATCATTTTGAGGTCTCATCAAAACCTACCCACCTACCAAGTATCAAGACAATCCATCAAGGCCTTCTCAAGTTATCGTGTTTACAGACAGACAGACAGACACACACACACACACACACATACACGAACGCCCCTGAAAACATAACCTTCTTGGCGAAGGTAAAACACACAAGTCTGTGTGACCTGGAAAATTCTCTGCAACTTTGTTCAACAGCTCCCCCTTTGACTATTGTTGGTATTGCACAAAAGTAATTGCCCAGGGATGCAAGGAATTGTGAGTGTTGATTTATGTTGATTCCTGCTGAATATTGGGATCAGTGATGCT